ATTTAAATGTATGCAATGTAATTGATTCCTTTAGCAATATTTGATATCATTGAGTCATTTTTGAATAGATACGAGTGGTTTGGAGGTGAATTCCAAAGGAAAAACTGTGATTGAGAATTAAGTTGCCTTCGGAACGAGGTAAGTGTTGTGTCTAACCCTGACTTGAGCGAATTAGGAACCTTAGATTATTTTCTAAGTGAAATTTATGTGAGCGGCGTATATGTGAGGTGACGAGTACTTATGCGCCGCCAATTTACCTATTTTTTCATGTTTCTTCCGTTTTCTTATATTGTCTCTTCTTATGACTAATTGCTACATCTTTATATTAGTGTTGTTTAATTGATCGTCATTATCATATTTACAGATTTTCTGTTGGTAATCGAGTATTTATTTAAAAGTTGAGATTTATATTGTGGAACCAAATGTTGAAGTAAGGTTTATACTTGTTATTCTATCTCCATGTTGTTATTTATGCATTGCATTATGGTAAGGAAGAGTGTTAAAGCACGAAGGGTCATGCCATGCCATATTGTGAGTGTAAAAGCACGAAGGGTGATGTCGTGCCGAGTGTTAAAGCACGAAGGGTGATGTCGTGCCATGATATGAGAGTTAATGCACAAAGGGTGATGCCGTGTCGTTTCTATTGGTTTTATGGTGAGATTGAGAGTAAAAGCACGAAGGGTGATGCCGTGCATTTTTCCTTATTGTATTCACTATTCCTGTTGATTCATGGTATATTGACTACCCCGGTGATCATTCTGTTGTAGTTCTTTATCTTGTATTCCCCTCAGTATGTTTCCCCTCCCGACTTTTCCTGTTTAGTTCTTCATTCCTGTTATTTGCGTATACACTGTTAAATTGTACAGGTTGATTTGTAGGTGCCTTACCTTAGCCTCATCACTACTTCGTCGAGGTTAGGATCGACACTTACCAGTACATGGGGTCGGTTGTACTGATGTTGCACTCTGCACTTTCTGTGCAAATTTGGATACCGGTGCAGGTTGATCGAGATTTGCTACTGGTCCGCTCTCCGGAGACTCAACGTAGATCTGTCGGCGTTCACAGACCTTGAAGTCCCCGTCTATCTTTTATGTCCTACTATTTTCTTTCATTCAGACAATTGTATTTCTTCATACTATTACTTGTAGTAAATTCTAGAATGCTCGTGAATTGTGACTCCAGATCCGGGTGGTAGTAATTAATACAGTTTTACGATATTTCGCACTTCATCTTAGTTAGTTATTATTATTTACTGAATGGAAATGAGGAATTGGTTTAACGATTTTCTAACGTTGGCTTGCCTAGCAAGTGAAATGTTAGGCGCCATCACGGTCTCGTCGGTGGAAAATTTCGGGTCGTGACACTTAAAACCCTTGAGTTACTCAAATCATTCAGAATTACGGTGCATCAAATAAATATATTAAATTTTTGAGTAACATTTATGAACGTCACAAAAATACTCAAAACAATCTCTTACCAGTATGTTCATTAAACCATACAAATCAGAATGGATTCTTTTTAACTTATCACCAATTTTATTTCCTTTTGAAGGGAAATATCTTTTAGTCAATTTTCTTCTAGACAGGATCCACAAGTTGGTAGTGCCTTTACTTTCAATGAACCTTAAGATCCATCCTTGACCAACTTGAAATCCTATCCGATAAATATGACTTGGACAAAAGTGCACAGATAAGTTTTACTCAATTTTGAAGAACATATTCTCTTATGAGGTAGACTAATATTGTTCTGTTCAGGAGAGACATTAATATACAATAACGAGGTCATGCATTCATGTGCCACAAGAGATAAAATGTTTATCAAGCTCAATAACTTAAGAGTTATTCGAAAAATAAAACAAATATCCATCTCTTATTTTGCCCAAAAATCAAAATTAAATTCCTTCTAACAAAAGGTACATTTATTGCATCCTTTAAATTAATGTCTTATCACTATCAAAAGATAATTTTAACAAGTAATACGACAAATTGCATAAAGTCATTGAGGAGTTGAGATAAAAACATTAAATAGATCATAATAAGTCAAAACACTGAATAATAAAATTCAGACTGCATTCAATATTTATATACATACATGCATCTCGAATAATAAATTTCGATGGGAAAAGAACCATTCATGCAAAGCATATTATATAATGCAAGAATTATACAATCCAAAAATAAATAGAACTAACTCAGATGGAGAGTATACTATTATTTTCAGTCAATTGTATATAACCATTTAATATGAAAATTTTAAACACACTACACATATATGTATTCGTGCATCTTGAATAGCAAATTTCGATGGGAAAAGAACTACTTATGCAACATACATATGTAATGCTAGATTATTCACTCAAATGATTAAAACAGGCCCAACTCAGATGGAGAGTATACTGTTAATTTAAGTCAAGTGAACATCATAATTAATAGCTCTAGTTTCATTGATCCATCATGTATACTCAGATGGAGAGTAAGTACACGATATCAATTACTAGTATTTTACCTAGTGAGCTTACAATAAATTTATCCGATATGGAGGAAGACCTAAAGTCAACGCATAATTTTATTACACGGTTAGTCATAAAAACCTACTACCAACAGAATACGAGACTGCGTACCAATACTACTGGTATGAACACTCTAGACTATCTACCCTACTATCCTAATCCTCGACTTCCACACCTTCCTATCAAGGGTCATGTCCTCGGTCAGCTGAAGCTGCGCCATGTCTTGCATAATCACCTCTCCCTACTTCTTCTTCGGCCTACCTCTACATGTCCATAGGCTCTCCAATGACAATCTCTCACACCTCCTCACCGAGGCATCTGTGCTCCTCTTCCTCACATGACCAAACCACCTAAACCGCGCTTTTTGCATCTTGTCCTCAATAGGGGCCACACCCACCTTGTCACGAATAACCTCATTCCTAATCCTATCTAACCTGGTGTGCTCGCACATCCATCTCAGCATCCTCATCTCTACTATCTTCATCTTCTGGACATGAGCGATCTTAACAGGCTAACACTCAGCCCCATACAACATAGTCGGTCTGACCACCACTCTGTAGAACTTACCTTTAAGTTTTAGTGGCACCTTTTTGTCACACAGAATACCGGAAGCGAGTCTCTATTTCATCTATCCCGCCCCAATACAATGTGTGACATCTTCATCAATCTCCCCATTCCCCTGAATAATATACCCAAGGTACTTAAAACTTCCTTTCCTAAGGATGACCTATGAGTCCAGCCTCACCTCCCCTTCCCCTTCCCGAGTCTCACCACTGAACTTACACTCCAAGTATTCTGTCTTGGTCCTGCTCAACTTGAAACTTTTAAACTCCAGGATCTGCCTCCATACCTCTAACTTCACGTTCACACCGCCTCACATCTCTTCAATCAATACAATATCATATGCAAATAGCATACACTACGGCACCTCCCCTTGGATATGGCATGTCAGTATATCTATCGCCAAGGCAAACAAAAAAGGGCTGAGCGCCGACCCCTGATGCAACCCTATCATGACCGAAAAATGGTCTGAGTCCCTTCCCACCGTCCTTACTCGGTTATTTGCTCCATCATACATATCCTTAATCACCTTAACGTAGGCAATATGTATACCTCTAGCCTCCAAACATCTCCACAAAACCTCTCTCAGGACTTTATCGTATGCCTTTTCTAAGTCGATGAACACTATATGTAAGTTCTTCTTCCTCTCCCTATACTGCTCCATCTATCTCCTAACAAGGTAGATGACTTCTTTAGTCGAAAGCCCCAACATTAAACCCGAACTGATTCTCGAAAATAGACACACTCCTCCTCACCCTTAACTCTACCACCATCTCCCAGACTTTCATAGTATGGCTATGTAGCTTCATACCCTATAGTTATTGCAATTTTGGATATCACCCTTGTTCTTGTATAAAGGAATCATCGTGCTCCACCTCCACTCTTCGGGCATCTTCTTCATTCTAAAAATGACATTAAATAACCTAGTGAGTCACTACAAGCCCGCCTTGCCTGCACTCTTCCAAAACTCCACCGGGATTTCATCCGGCCCAGTCGCTTTGCCCCTGCTCATCTTACACATAGCCCCCTTAACCTCATCAACTCTAATCCGCCTACAATACCCAAAGTCACAACGACTTACGGAGAGTTCCAAATCACTCAGTACAATGCTCCTGTCCCCCTACTCATTCAAGAGACTATGGAAGTAGGTATGCCATCTTCGACGGATAAGCCCCTCATCCAACAAAACTCTACCTTGTTCGTCCTTGATGCACTTCACTTGGTCCAAATCACGAGCCTTCCTTTCTCGCACCTTGGCTAACCTTAACAACCTCTTATCCCTACCTCGACCTTGGAATTCCTCATACAAATGACCAAAAGTTGCAGTCTTGGCCGCTGTAACTGCTAACTTTGCCTCCTTCTTAGCCAACTTATACTTCTCCCTACTCGTCCTCTTCTCCTCTTCATCTACACTTTACACTAGCTTTAGATACGCCGCTTTCTTGGTTTCCACTTTTCCTTGCACCTCTCCATTCCACCACCACTCTCCCTTGTGACTACCAGAGTAACCCTTTGAGACCCCTAATACCTCTCTCACTGCTTCCCTAATGCACTGTGTAGTCGTGGTCCACATAGCGCTTGCATCTCCACTACTCTTTCAAGCCCCCATAGCCAGCAGCTTGACCCCCAACTCCTGTGCTTTAGCTTCCATCAAGGCTCCCCACTTGATCCTATGTTGGCTATACACCTCCCTCTTCCTCCTAATCTCAAGGTCCATGACCAGAAGCCTATGAAGGGTCGAGAGGTTCTCACTCGGGATGACCTTGTGATCCGTGCAAAGACCTCTATCGAACTTCCTGCAAAGTAGGTAATCAATCTGAGTCTCGGCCACCGAACTCCGGAAGGTGACCAAGTGCTCCATCTTTTTCTGGAAACTCGAGTTTGCTATCACTAAATCAAATGCTCTAGCAAAGTTTAGCAGAGACGTTCCTCATCTGTTTCTATCTCCAAAACCAAAGCCACCATGCACATCATCATATCCCCTAGACGTCGCTCCAATGTGGCTGTTGAAATCTCCTCCTATGAAAAGCTTCTCGGTATGTGAAATACCATGCACCATCTCATCCAAATCCTCCCGGAAATACCTCTTGACTTCCTCATCCAAGCCTGCTTTGGTTGCGTACACACTGATTATGTTCAAAGTAAAACCTCCAACAACTAACTTAATAGTCATTAGCCTATCATTCACCCTCCTAACCTCCACCATTAGTTCACGGAGGTCCTTATCAACCAAGATACCTACCTCGTTCCTGCCCCCCACCCTCCCAAAATACCATAGTTTGAACCCGTCCACATCCCGTGCCTTATCTCCTACCCATCTAGTCTCCTGTATAGAAGCTATATTAATCTTTATTTTCTCGAGAATCTTCGCTAACTCTACTGATTTTTCAGTCAAAGTTCCTATGTTCCAAGATCCCACTCTTAGCCTAGTATCTCACTTAGCCCTCTTACCCCTTTACCCCCTCCCCCGCGATGACACCCCCGAGGAAAAGACCTTACCCTACCATCGTTCACCAAAGCCACTATAATCTAGGAGTTACTATGCAAGCACTAACTCGAATACAAGCGACAAAAATAAAATGAATAACCGAAATATAATCTACCACTAAAGGTCGCAAAACATGTGAAGAAATAAAATAAAGAAACTAAAGGGAACTATAATCTACAACTAAAGGTCAGAAAAACAGGTGAAGAAATAAAATAAAAGAGCTAAAAGGAACTATAATCTACAACTAAAGGTCAAAAAGAAAATGAGCAAAACTAGAGCAGAACTACTAGGGGATATACTAAATAAAGATTCAAAATAAAGATGTAAACAGGTAGGCAAAGCTATCACTAAAGCAACTATTTTTACAATGCTAGGGCAAACAACAACTAAAGATTCAAGAACAAAAATAGGCAGGCAAGGAGATACAGTTAAGCTAAAATATCAAACTATCAAGATATCAAGACAAGAGAGGAATAATAGAACCTGAATTGCAACCCTTGAAGTTAATGAAAATCTGGCAGGTGGTGATGGATCGCGACGAGCTAGCTGGAAGGGACAATCCGAGAAACCTGGGCGGGTCGTTCTTGAGCCTCAATCACTGGGAGGAGACTCACGTGCCGAAAAACCACATGGACAGGAGCTCACGCGTCGGCACGTGATGAGATCTACGCCAGAAAATTGATTGGTCTAGGCGGAATCGACCGATAAATCCCCACACACGCAAGCGGCGAAGGGGAGAGAAATAGAGAGAGAGAAGCGCCAAGATACACGGAGTTCCGGTGCCGGATTCCAGCCAGTCATAGTGGAGAAAGAAAAGAGAGGAATGAGGGGGAAATGGAGAGAGAAAGAGAAAGAAATGAGGATGGGCAGAGAAAGCAAGAGAGGGCGAAGAGAAGAAGGGTTAGTACCTTACCAGGGTCACCGGCGGTGGTGCTGGACGGCTGTGTTAATGGGGAAGTGAAGTTTGGGGTCCAACAGATCTGAATCATGAAAGCTGACGAAGAGAGATCGAGTCTAAGGGGTTATTACTAGAAAGCAAAAAAAAAAAAGAAATAAAAGACAAAATAACTACAAAAGAATTTAGAAAAGCTAAAAAAGAGTACAGAATTTTATTAGAAAAAGAAAAATAAAGTAAAAAAATAATAATGTGATGGGAAAAAATAAAAATAAAAAATAGCATAAGTGAAAAAATAAAAAGAAAAAAGAAAAAGAAAAAAGAGGAGGGCCCTAGGTGGAATATATGCATAACAAGGCAGGAGATAGCTAGTTAATAAAATTTTCAAAAGTGTTATGAAAATAATTATATTGTGGATGTCCATTTATTACTCCGCTCTTCCTGAAGAAGATTATCCATTTAGTACTCTGTTGAAGTTTATCTACAAGCAGCTGATGCA